GCAGCTTTAGGTTTCCAGGTAAAGCACGATATTACTGTCTTACTGAAGTAGTTCTGATAATTCGCTGTGAACCCACTATTTCCTAAGAATTTGTCGATTAATGTAAACTGACGTTGTTGTAATTACTTTGTTTAATAATAAAGAATGTAGTGTAGCACACAGCTAATTGCTGTTTAATTTTGCTGCACGGCAGTTATAGGGTTAATGCGGGAGAGACGAGCGAGTAAAGTTAGGCTGGTGCGCCTGTGATACAGCCGTTCTGCGTTCTGATTAAAAGTTAAGACAGAGCGTCTTTTGTCTGTCATTCTTCAAACATTACAGTAGACATATTTTGGTTTACAAACTATCGTTTCATCAGTTAGTCACGTTAGCACTCGGCTAACATAGCCACCATTATTGTTTTAACTGTTCACAGTTTAGCAGCTAAACTTTAGCTGTGGGCACGATTCACTTGCATTTAAGTGATTTGCATTTTATGTCATTATTATAAGAACGGATTGGAGCAATATATTATTGTTTTATGTAAAGGTGCTCGCTAACTTGCTCAAGTCATGGACTACTCTCTGTGCCAATTACAACAGGCTTGGCCAGCTGACCAATCAGAGCAGAGTAGGCTTATGGAAGGGAGGGGTTTGCTCCGAACTTGCTTGGAACGAATCATTTCTAAATCATTAGCAAATGACTCTAATATTAAATGTATATTCTGAGAAAATTACAATGTTTTCTGACCTTAGATGCATTTAAACCTGTTGTAGAGGACTCCAACACAATATTAGGACATTTTAAAATACCATATGACATGCTCTTTAACAAGGGTTACGAGTGTTAAAGGGGTCATATGATGCGATTTCAATTTTTCCTTTCTCTTTGGAGCGTTACAAGTTCTTGGTGCATAAAGAAGATCTGTAAAGTTGCAAAGACTAAAGTCTCAAATCCAAAGAGATATTCTTTATAAAAGTTAAGAGTCAGCCACACCTACCTAAAACAGCTCGTTCTAACACGCCCCCACATATCTACCTCACTATGTGGGAAGATTTGCATAACGCCGCCCAAATGTTCATGCAAAGAAAGAAGGTGTAACTTTTATTCTCACTGTAGTATTGTTGCCGCTGCCGCCATTTCATGAAGACGTTGTGTGCTTCGTTGTGAAAGCGAAAACTACTTTGGTCTTCATCAGTAATTATGTCCCCACTGGATGCAACAAATGCCTCGTTTGTAATGGGTTTTAATGTTTTTGTCTCTTCGCTCCGGCCGGCACACGGCATCAACAGTATGGTGAGGGGCGTAACATTTCCGTCACACGCTTGAGGTATTCGGCCAATCACAATGCACTGGATAGCTGGCCAATCACAGCACACCTCGGTTTTTCAGACCGATAAGCTTTGCAAAAATCGACAAAATTTTTCAAAAAGGCGGGGCATAGAAGAGAAACAATAATGTACAGTATGTGGAAAATAATGTGTTTTTTTAACCTTTAAACCGCATAAACACATTTCATTACACCAAATACACAAAATAATGTTCTTTTTAGCAGCATCATATGACCCCTTTAATAGAGCACATGCATAAACTGCACTCATAAATTCCTCACAGCCATACAAAATCAACACCTGCCCCATATACACAATCCTGATAACACCATCAAAGCATGTGGTGTAAATGACATCCATGTTAAAAGTAGCTAAAAATTTTTTTAAATCGTGTCTCATGACTTCGCTTTTTTTTTTTCATTCTACCGCACTGTGCCTTGTGTTTTTCAATGCACTATTGATGAACAAAAGCAGCAAAAAGCAACTTACCACTCGAGCAATCACATAGCATATAATTCCTGAATTGTTTAAACACTGGAAGTGATGTCAAAAGAAATTTAGGACTATAGCAGTCACTCGACTAAACAGGTTTCAGTGTGCACAATTTCTAACTTTATTCTGAGTATGCAAATAGTCTAATCTCAAAACACTTATTTTGATTTAAAAAAAACGGCTGGCTGGAGAGAAAAGAAGCTTAACTAGTAATCTGCATGTCTTACTAACAAGTGAGCACAGAACAGGAAGTCAGTGCTGATGATACAGATGGAAAAAAAAGAGGTGTTTTAAGTGGCAACACTATTCACAATCCTTCCTACACCACAGAACAAGTCCATTTGTCACATTATTGTACCATGAATTATAATAACAGCAGTTCTTCCTGTTCTTAGAAATCACACCGTTCACACACGACCTCTATACTAAAGCAGAGAGAGAGAGCGAGAGAGTGTGAATAAAAAGGTTAGAAAGTGAGAAAGCAAGAAAGCCAAAGGGAAAAGAAAAGGTAAAAGGTGCTTTACAAAACATCATCTTCCAAAAGTACAAGAGTGTTGCAACTTTTTACCGTAAGTCAACCTTTTTAAAGAGAGAGAGCATGAACCTGTATCAATGGTTGATTTGTGTGTTAGTTAGTATCAGGCCTGAAAATCCGGTAATATTAACAGGAAAAAACACAAACCAGCTAACTATATTAACACACCAAAACACACTTGATGACATCCTTTATTGCAATTTCACACAACAGTTAATTCAAAAACCATTGAAATAATTTGGAGTAATGCAAAGTGGGAGAGAGAAAACAAAAGGAAACAGAAAGAGAGAATGAGAGGAAAAATACTCTTTTAGAAGGTCATCAGATTTATGCATCACTCACACTCGTGCATGCAGACTTCTCTCTCGCTGTTTTCTCCATGTCTCTCAGTTTCACACACAAAACCACCTCACTAGTCAGTAAAACGATCGACACACTCTATATCTGCACACCTCATCTCACCACAGAGAAGTTTCTATTTCATGAAACCCAAGTGAATCAGTTACATAAGGGTTCACATGGTTATAGTTTTACCTCTACAACACTAAATAAACTTGTTGCACGTGTATACACAAACACACACAGAGTTACTAGTTCAGAGAGCTATTTTACAGTCAGCAACTGGACCAAAATACAGTACAGGACAGATACACACTGTTTCACACACACCCCTGCTGTTTTTGTCCTGATTTGTCTCGCACTCCCTCTGTATAATGACCTGAAAAATAACCCGACCCCATGAGGAGCGAGACAGACCGGGTTAGCATTAAGCCTGAACAGAACTGTGAATGAGAATGAGACACATGCAAACTCCTGATCAACAAGCAGAATTAAAAAATAAATAAAAATTAAAAAAACATCAACGTCACTCACAAAACTGGGACTGTTTCAGAGTGGAGATGTCAATGACCACGGCTTTCACAAATCAAAAATACTGAATATAGTTCAGCGTTTGTTTCAGTGCTGGTGAGAAGCGGGGAGCCAGCTCATAATAAATCTTCAGTGCACAGAGATGCATTACTATGGCTCAGGTTGGGCTTAAGGCCCAGTAACCACAGCAGCTTGGCTTCATTTCCACAACTTTAATAAGGACTCTTCAGATTAGCGTTAGCTTGAATGAGCTTTTTAATATTTTCAGGTTTTTAATTCATTTTCATGTGCTTTTGTTTTTTTTTATTAGTTTTTGTTTTTTTATATTTCTATTTTTTTATTTCAGTTTTAGTTTTAGTCATTTTAGTATTTCAACTTCAATTTATTTTACTTTATTTCAGATTTATTTCATTTTAAAAAAATGAATAGTTTTAGTTAACTCATGCTGCACCGTTTGTGCTGCGGACATGAATGATACCTCAAGTCATGGAGCTCGAACAGAGGTGTGCTATTACTTTTTTTGTGATCATTTTTATAAATTATGTCTGGAGGACAATGAATCCTATGAGTTTATTTCAAGGCTCCAACAATGACCCGAAACACCTTGGCAACAACTAAAAAAAAGAAGTTCTTATGACCTGCATAGCAACATGCTTGCACTCACCCACAACATCTTAGCACAGCGATGCACCACCACTCAGAAAATGTAAAAATCTAGCTAGCCGATGAACTCCAGAAGTGTTCTAGACAAAAAATTTAGTGTAGGAACTAGATTTTGTCTATCAGGTATAGATTTAGATAATTCTCATTTGCTAATTGCTGTGATCTTGAGCAAGTTACAGGATGCTGGAGGGAAGCGAATATTGAATTTAAAAAAATGTTTACAAATAAATCAAACCCTTCAATATTCTATAAAAGATAATTGATTTTGACTTCATGCTGTCTGAATATACAACCATGTGAACATCTGTGAAACCTTTTCTTCATTTTTTTACACAGAACATGGTTTCAGATTGTGAGAAAAGTGACAGGACCCACTGATCCCAAGAACATAATACAGGTTTGAACTGCGAGAACAATAACAACATGCAGTAAACGGTAAAACTGTTTGCACTACAAACTAGTGTGTTCATAATTAAGATAATACATTAAAATAATATAGTATGACACACCAATTTTGAATATCAAGCAGCAAAACGAACTGTAAAAATAGCTGGATGCAGATAAGACCAGAAGCTAGACCCATAGAATTTACAAATGGCCGCTCCCATTTTTACGGCAAGAAAAAGGTGGATATTGTTTTTATAAATTAATTGTACAATAATTGTAATTACATGATATGATTTTCAAAAGCTGAAGTGATTACCTTTATTTATTTGTTAGAATATGTATAACTCAATATTTTAACTAATTGCAAAAGCTGAATAATCAATCAAAGTCTACTGTTTAATCAGTGAAATAATCGTTTGTTGCAGCCCTAATTTGTACACAGTGTCAACGAAACTTCTAGTCTTTGAGACATTTGAAGCTTTTTTAAAAAGGTATGGTTCACCCAAAAATGAAAAATACCCCAAGATTTACTCACCCTCAGGTGTATGACGACTTTCTTCTTTCAGACGAATACAATCAGAGTTATATTATAAAATGTACTGGCTCTTCCAAGCTTTATAAATCGCAGAGAATGACTTAAGATTCAATAGTCCAATAGAAGTCCAATAAACTGCGTCCATCCATCATAAAAAAGTGCTCCACACGGCTCTGGGGGGTTAATAAAGGCCTCCTGAAGCAAATCAATTTGTAAGAAAAATATCCATATATAAAGGTTTAATCTGGAGCCTCCGCTAACTGTCGAATGCGCGTGTACGAGAGTATTTCCAGCGGATGACGTAGGACGTAGGCAAATGCTGTGACGAATGTGAGCACAGAAGAGAGAGCAAAACAAAACACCTGTCACGAAGCAGAATTACAAAACGAGGATTTGTAAAGAAAAATGTCAGAGGATTTTGCTTGAAATCCTTGAGATTCTGGCGAGACTAGCGTTTTCTCACTGGAGCTTACGCTACGCCTACGTCATCCACTAGAACGCCACTCTCTCGTACACGCGCATTCGACAGTTAGCGGAAGCTAGAGATTGCGGTTTATAAAGTTTTAAATATGGATATTTTTCTTACAAAAATGCATGGATTTGCTTCAGGAGGCCTTTATTAACCCCCCGGAGCGTGTGGAGTACTTTTTATGTTGGACGGATGCAGTTTATTGGACTTCTATTGGACTATTGAATCTCAACAGCCATTCCTAGCCATTATAAAGCATTTTTAAATCACATCAAAAATACAAGTTTTTGTTTACAAAATATATGTGTGTGTACTGTGTATATTTATGATGTGTAAATAAATACATAAACGTATATATTTAAGAAAAACATATTTTGTTTATTAATCGTGATAAATATTTTGAAAACACTAATAAAAAGTTTTTGGCATTTGAGAACAAATCTTTCAAACTGTTCTGAAAAATATAATTCTGTACTGTAAAAAATGTTATACGGTTTTGTGTAAATATATTAACACAAAACTACAATCAATCATTAATTAAATGCTAGTTAATTTAAGCATTAAAGTTAATTTAGGTATTACAATGTACAGTATGAAAAAAAATGGATATTCATTTTGAGATTTGCTAAAGATTACATTTAATAATGTTGTTAAATTTATGTTTTTAAAGATTGACTTAAGTGAGCATTATATAATGCAAAGATAATCTATATTAAAAAAATTACAGGATATGAGTGTGCAAAATTAAATAACCAAACAAATTTTTAATCAATCATAATTAATATTATAAAATGGATTGTTCCAGTTCTTAATTATGATCAGCTGAGGCATGTTCAAAACAGTTTTTAACATAGGTACGTAGGTTTTGGAACACTCCAAGTTTCTCTGAAAACAATACCAATAAACTGACCAATTCATAAAATCTATGAATCACTTTACAATTAACTACACAGACCAACTAGAGGATCCTAATAAACGCATAACAAAAATATTCCACCACTAATAAGAAACTGGACTGCACATGTGGTCAATCACAGTAAAACAGCTGAAAGGAAGCAGGTGACCTCCACCTGGGCAGGAACACCAGACCTTACCACATCACCACTTTATACTGAAAACTATTTGAATAAATATAACACTGTCGACCAAGAAAGATGCATTAACGAAATGCATGCAAGATTCATCACAATGATGAATTTGAGAAAGATAAAAGTACAGATGGTGAAGAGATATGGTGAGAAGAATCAGATATTCAGGAGCCTGCACGCACACATGCACAAGAATCACCATATGCATTAATGTTCAAAACAAAGCATATTGCAGGGATAGTTCACCCAAAAATGAAAATTCCGTCAACATTTACAACCCTCTACAATGCGAGTAAATCACTCGCATATGCGACATAGACTGAATGGACTACATAAAAATATAAAACAATAATAAAAACATAATAAATAATAAAAAAGGTAAACTGTAGTAAATTGGAATTTAAAATAAATAAATAGCTAATTTATTTAATAAAATAAATATAGACTGAATTTTAACTAAATATAAATAATTTTAGAAAATTATTTTAACATAATAGTAAGATGAAATTATAAAGTATTGTTACCTACTGACAGTCCTAAATTTGATATATTCTCCACCTAACAGGCGATAATGGACCGAATAGACTACATAAAAATATAAAATTCAATATTAAAATAAAAAAGCCAATTGGCCAATTGGCTTAATAGATTAATAGTTAATTCAGTTAATAAAATAAATGTAGATAGAATTAATCTAGATAGAATTTTTAACTTAAAAAATATGAATGAGGAACATTTTTGCAAATTGGGATATAAAAAAAAAACAATGTAAAATAAAAATAAAAAATTGCAAATGATTGTATCTGTATCTGTTATTGACAGCCCTAATTTTTATATACAATCCATAGGTGTGTACATTACTACATTACTGACCGCATCTGTTCCTTGGTCTATATAGCATGCTTCCTGTGGGGCAGCAAGCAGCGGGACAAAGCCAGAGAGCATTTTGTCTTCCTCCAGCTGTAGGACTCGGAGTTCCTCGTCTCCTTCTCCATCTACATCAGCTTTATACAGCAGAACCTCACCATGATACACGCGTGCCAAAGAGTTGCACAGATCTGCAAGACACTGCCACACGTCTGGACCCCCCCTAGAAACACACACAGTTCTGTATTACTCCAGCTCAGTTTCAAAACAACACGGCCCTGTGAACGTAACACAAGCAGGACTCACTGAATATTGCAGGGAGGAGGGTTCCACTTGTCTGGGTGGCCGAGCATCCAGTCAGACCAGACCTTCATGCTGGGAAGCAGCTCTCTGAGGTCGGGAGGGAAGACAGACACCCGTACCATCCCCTCCTCCTCGTCCATTTCATCAAGCTCCCCCAGCTCTTCTGCTGGGATAGACTCTGGCAGAGGAAAAAAAGAGAAAGCAAATAATCAGACAAAGCTGCATAGGGGTCACAAACACTGAGATTTTTACCCAGAATGACTTTATGCTGTCTACATAGGTAGCACACAAGGTTTAGCAACCCTCTACAATGCGAGTAAATCACTCGCATATACGACTAAATCTTCACTCTGGGCGACTAAATGATGTCTAATATTAGCTACTGGCTAATAAATTCTTAGATTTTACTTGCCAGTGTGTGAGTTGGAGGCAGAGTATAAGTTTAGCACGGATATATTTTCATTCGACAAACACTACCCCCTGGGGCATTTAACATTCTTCTGCGTACCCCCTCTCTTCCACTTAGTCACACCTTAAAGGACAATATTTGCCCCCTTAAATTGATTTAAAGGTGCATTTTTTTACCTTTATAGAGGCAAATATTTTCTATCCTTATTAAAAAATTAATGGCACATTTGCCATCGTTTGGATATTCAGGGAAATTTGCATTCTTGCACGCATCTTAATAAACATGAAATCAATAACATGCAGAGTGTGTCTGTATCGAAGAGAGTTTAAATCGATCTCAGTCTGCGTCAATCTTTGCTCTTCATGCTATTAAGTGAAGCTCTACTTTAAAGATACATTGAACAGCAGCGCGATTGGCTAAAGCAGCATATTCAGCTGGCATCCTATCGCATGCACGCTGCTTGTGTGGATGGATGCAGTCCGTTTTGACCACAAAAGATGAGGTAAGCTGATTGGATATCATGTATTTGACCGTTTACGGCACCCCCATTTTCCTGTTTTTACATAAGAAGCGGCATTTTGCTTGTCAGAAATACATGTTCGGTTTTAATGTTACTTTAAGTTGGGGTAGAATTAAATGAATGCCGAAACTCAGAATTTTGTTCGCGTACCCCCCACCGTCATCTCACGTACCCCTAGGGTTACGTGTACCCCAGTTTGAGAACCACTGCTCCAGCAAATGCGCAAAATATGTGTTCTGTGTGAACGGCTTGGTTTCAGTTTTGATGTAAACAAGATCATCTCCGCATTGATGTTCTCTTTTTCCGCAATATTTTGAATGAACAACGAAGCAGCGCCGCATCTAGCGGCTTCAACTGGATAGGCTAACAAAAACATTATAATGCAACGACACTTACATCGTCATCGCATCTCGTGCGCCA